TAGTTTGTCCATTTTTTGGCCGTGAAATACTGAGAATAATTTTCCAATGGCAATGCACCCATTTCTATGAGGAAATTACTTGCCCTGCAGCAGCGCTACCTCCATATGCACCTATTGCCATGTCATATACAAGTTAAAGCTCATTTTAAAGGCTTAAACTAGCACATCTCATTCCAGGTAAAGAAGAGATGCATGATCAATCAACAAGCAGTAACAGGCATTGGCAGTTAAGTCACAGCTTACTCATGTGCCCGAGCCACATGGTTCAGCACTTCTTTTCCTCCAAAACAACCAGTTTGTTTTCCTGTGCCTTTTTTTTCAGTGTGAGAAAGTACTCATCACAGAATGAGATTACAAACGAGCCTTGGAGCTTCCCTGAGCATCTAGCAGAAGTCTGATTTCAAAATGGAGATACAGAGAGAAGGAAAGAACCTGTTCTTCACCACTGTATCTGGCCAAGGATCACCTCGCCCCTCCCAGAGCGTTCCCCAAATATCTCAAAATTGAATTGTATCTGCCGTGATGTGGCTTGACACCATTAGCTGTCCTTCAGTAAATTTTTAGATGCGTGTAAAAGTTTGCTTGCTGTTGAAATCTATCTTATTTTGGGGAGACAAGACACATTTGAGAATGGTGTAATTGCTGCAAGTGTCAGTGCAAACACTGCGTCGTGCTTCACGTGTGCAGACGGCATCCAGCACAGCTTGGTCTTGATCTTTGTAGAGGCATCAAGTGCCCCCAAAATTGCTGTGCTACTTTGAAGGTCCGATTATTCCCTACATACAGTGAGTCTTCAGACTTACTGGTAAGAAAATTCACTTTACAATCGCATCATTTTGTTTTAAGAATTAAATAAAACAAAGTGTCAGCTGAGGGAAGCTCTCTTTGCCTCCTGGTTCTGCATGTAGAAGGCTTCTTTAGGCGTTTAATTAAAACAAAACAAAACAAAAAACACTATTTAAGACCTACTTAAGCCAAGCATTATTTTTTTTTCGCAGCCCTCGCATGCGGAGGAACGCGTGAGCACACGCTGTACAGAACAAAGCACATTTATCACTGGGGTATTTTGGCCTCTAATTGAGCAGCGTTTGTATCCGCTTCCTCGCTTGCTCTGCAGCGGGACTGTGTGCGCCTCCACCAAGAGGAAAATAAAAGCAGAAACACCTGTGGTCACTAGAGATTTTACCACATTTTGTGCAAGAGCAGGCAGGCTAACCATGGTGCCCTGGCTATTTTCCAAGGAAGGGGGGATGGACACACGATTTGTCCTACCTAGCAGCTATCTAACATGTTTCTGAACAATTTCTTCACTTCCTGCCTCAAAACTTTTGCAACTGTTGTGCTCCGCGCTGTAGACAGCAGCTTCTGAACAACTGGCAAAACAAATTCCCCTCTGCCTTCACCAAAGAGCCTGACTCCATTACAAGTTTTATGAGGCCTGCTATTATTGCACAGCTTCAGGGCTAACTTTTGAATTAACCCCTTGCGGTCTCAGGCAAAAGCCTAAACGCATGAACTTTAGGGGCAGAGCAAGCAAATAGCTGCGGTGGGTTGTGTTTGAAGCAGATCTCAATCTCTTAGTTTTGTGGGCCGCAGCGCTGGCATCGCGACCGTCCTGAGCCTTGTTCTGGTTCGGGGCCCCTTCAAAACCGGCAGTTCTGGAGCAGAGGGGCCTGGGCGCTGCGACCGCCCGCGCGGCGGCTGTTGTGTGGTAAACTCCCAAGGATCCAGCCCTATTTTTGTTTTATTTATTACGTTTTAAGCGTGTGGAACCAGTTCCACAAGAGGCCGCGGGGCAGCCGGCACCAACGGGCAGGAAGGCAGCAGAAACGCGAGCGAAGCCCCGGGGCGGGCAGGGGGCGGCCCCTTGGCTCTCCCCCTCACGGGCGCCTCAGGTGGCGCCGCCGCCGCCTCCC